CGGTAGACCATGTGCCAGAGCTTGAAGGAGGTCACGGGGTCATTGCGCCAATGATCGTGATAGAAACCACCGTAGGATCTCCATGCCTTTGCTTGCTGAGGAGCCTGCTGCTGGCGCCAAAGGCGAGTTTGCAGTAGCCCATCCTCCTCGGCGTTGAGGTCACCACAGATAACCCTAGGGCCTACGCGGCCGAATACCAGTTCTTTGGTGATGGGCTCAAGAAGAGCGTCAGTAGCTGCAGCAGCCTGCGGATGACTTCGGCTGTAGCCATAGACGTTGGCAACTAGGAGGGGAAATCCCTCGATTAAGACCTGGGCGATCTGTGCTCGAGCCGTTTCAAAAATCCCGGCTGGCCAGGGAATTTGAACAGGGTGCATCGGCCAGTCGGCGGCCACCATTACACCTGTCCACGAGCCCGCCCATTCACTATGCGCTCGCAAAGGTGCTGCAGCGCCTGCAAGAGCTCTGATGTTACGGCCTTGCTGCAGACAACTGAGTCTCTCCAAAGCAATGCACCCCGCATTGCTGTTCAACCGCAAGAGGGACCTTTCCCCGAAGTCCAGAGGGGTTACTTGTGGAGATCCAAAGGTCGAAGTCAGGGCCAGGATGGCGAGCCTCGCCAATGCGGTCAGCGCCAGCAGGGCCAGCGCCGGCAGCGACAGGCTGCAAAAGTCCAAGCAGCAAAATCCAAAGGCAGAAGAAAGGAGCTCTTCCGGTGGCTCCAGAGCCGCAAGCGCCAGACCGCGCTGGACGCCCAGAGCAAGCTGACGGAATAGTCGTGCAGGACCGACATATCCCAAGTCGGGCCCTGCAAACACAAGCAACAAGAAAGGCAAGAAGCCAAGTCAACAGGAGAATGCAGAGATGCGCAATGGCCAAGGAAGGATCCAGCCTGTGCCAGGCCGATGTAGCACAGCTGGCGTGACCTAGTCACTCGGAGCGTTGTTTCTTGGAGAGCAGTGCTTCAAGTTGGCTGTGCTGCTGCTGGAACTGCTGTTGCATCTGAGCGCCGAGCTCTGCCGAAAGTGAGCTAACTGCTGACTGGACCGTGGCTGGCAGTTGTTCGGCTTGCCGCGCAACCTCAGCACGAAGTTGTGCGACTTCCCCGGCCTGTGCCTGAAGTCACTTTTTGGCCAAAACTCTGAAACCAGCCTTCAAATTTGGAGTTCTGGGCCCTCAACTCCTGAAAGCCCGTCTCAAGCTGACAGAGACGAGCTTCAGCTGCATCAGTCTTCTGAGTGACTGCTTTGCCGGATGCATCAAGGTGCTTCTGCACAAGGTCTTGCGTGCCCTGAGAAAGCTCCTCCCTGAGCTGTGTGATCTTAGTTTGTGCGCCGGAGCCAGCGGCAGCAGCAGGCGGAGCGAGGCCAGGGGGAGGGCGTGCAACGGACCAAGGATCACGGCCACCTGCCCAAGGGTCCTGAGGGGCGCTCGCGGGCACTTCTTCACCATCATCGTACAGAATAAGTCGCTTGGTGCGACCTGAGGCAGTAATGCCGGCCGGAGGAGCGGAGATGGCAGTGTCCTTGACTTTGCGCACCAACACAAAGGTGCCGCCGCGCGCTATGGCAGGACTCGGCGGGTCCTCGGCGGCGCCGACAATCCAGGCGGCACCTTGGCCGTCGCCGCGCGCTGGTTGCAACGGCTTCGCATCCCAGCGCCAGGATTTGAGGAGGACTTGCAGGTGCTTTCGCTGACAGCCAAAGGGAAGCGGGTGAAGATGAAAGTGTGCGACAAGCTTAATCTTCTGCAACTCGCTGCCCGGCCTTAGTGCTTGGTGAGCGGCCTGTTCGTCAGCCTCACGGCATCTGATACCGTAGCGCTTGCCCAAGCGCGTGAGCGCGACAGCCTGGGGGCAAGTACGCAGCGTATGCAGTGCATGTGGGTAATCGGCTTCTGGGAGCCACACTACCGCAAAGCCAGCATGTGGCGCAGAGCCTCCTGGCGCTCGTGGTTCCGAGTAGAACCCGCGGATGAGCAACTGGTGCAGGTGACGCAGTGCAGATGCAGGCACGCGTGCCAAGCAAGCAAATACCTGTGCGTCGTCAGGAGACGCTCATCCACCTTCAAGCTTCAGCCACTGTCTTCCCCAGAGGTCCAGAAGCAGGCGATCAATGCACCCAGCTTCTTCAACAGACGGATGAAATTTACCACAGGATTGGCTGCAGGAGGCATCTTTGCAAAGGGCAAGGCCAGGGTTGCCAACGACGAGGGTGCGAAGATTGGACAAAGGAGGTCCAGTCGAGTGCCACCTCATCTCGGAACACTGTGAAGCGACACGTGGCGGTTTCCAATTGGTCTGTGTCAGCAATCTGGCTTTGCTGCAGTTGTACTGGCTCGTCCCCCAGCTGGATAAGAGAGCCTCGTAGGAGAACGGCTTCTCCAGTAGGCCCATAAATGGCGGGGAAGTGAACCGCGGAAACACGGGCAGATCCGCGCTGCTCTGTTGAGAGTGCATTCACGCGCGCAAGGCCCAAGGAGTCAACACTCAGGGACTTCCCGGATTCCAAGAACGGCATGGCCTGACTCATGTTACAGAAGGCAACACCCGTGGTCAATGCGCCTACCTCGCTTAAACCTATCTGGGGCAGAGGTGACCCATCCGCATCCACAAAGGACCCTGGGGACAAAAGAAGCTTAGCTGGATCAACTTGGAGCGCAGCAGCAGTGCGGGCGGCAGGCTGCCGCTTCTTCTTGTCTTTGCCTTTTGGGACTGATGTTCCAAACTTGGCTGATGCCTTGGCCTCAATGTGCTGCGACAGCTCATCGACTGACACTCATCTGAATGCTACGCCGGGTCGCCCAGCGATCACCTTAAGCTGCGCCCAGGGCTTTTTGTGGGCGAGGGCATGTGCAATGGGACCTGGGCCTAGCTTGCGGATTGCAGTTTGCGCACGCTCCTCAACACTGGCGGTAGGAACCCCTTTCGTCTGCAGAAAGGCTTTGAGCTGCTGCAGTTGCTCGGAGGAAAGGTCGCCCGAGCCAAGGACGCGGCCAGGTGCAGACTCGGCTTGCAATAGCTGCTGTACGATACTCTCAACCTGAGGCCCAAGCCCAGCCACGCAGGCGCAAAGGTGACGCAGCATGATGATTCCGCAGGAGTCGGCCTCGCCCTGAACAAACCAAGACAGGCTTTGGAAGTGATGCGTGGCTCTCCCAAGGAGCACAGCAAGTACCCGCCCGAGATGTTGTGCTTGGGCAACAGGTCTGTCTGGTACCCCATCAAGGTAAAGGATCGAGAGGCAGTCTGGCTGAATTTGAGCGCGCATGCAGGCCCAGTGGCCATCGGCCGTGAAAGGCAAGAGGAGTCGGCAGTGCAGAGGAAGAGTTTCTTTGTAGCAGCCAAAGTGCCTGGCATCATCGACAGAAAGGCCAGCAAGTGCAGAGACAAGGCTGGTCGGCAGACACGCCACTTCTGCAGGCAATAAGTTCCGAATCCTTTGCAGGGCAGAATCGAGATCTGCGTCAGAAACAACACCTGGCGTCCGAGCAGTCAAGACAGGCGGCCGGAGGTCAAGGACAACATCCGCACATAACGGAACATGAAGGTCTGCGTGTCCGTCTGACCCCAAGATTTGCGCAAAGCCAGGTGGCAAGCCAAGGTCGTGCAGGACTTGCGCGGCTGAATCTCCGGGCCTGCACTGGTGTATGCGAGTGCCAGATGTTGTCAACAAGGCAACAGAGCAACCTGTGCATGAAGCAGGCGGCGCTTGCACGCTCTTGGCACTTTTCTTTGGGCTGACCTTTACCACATAAGAGGCAGTTTGGGGGTGCAAGTAAGCATCCGGCAGCAGAAGCCGATCACCATTCATGACCTGGATAGACTGGCCTGGCCCAACGGCTGCACGCGTGGCGGACAGGACTTGCTGGACTTGCCACGGCTGAGGGCTGGCAGGAAGTTTCATGTGCGTGGCAAAAGTGATTGGCACTTCACGGGGCATCTGCAGAGAAGGGACCAGCCAAAGGTCGCGTAGCAGGCGCCTCCAAACCCGACCGGATCAACTGGCTGCTCATCCTGAAGTCGAGACGAGGCCCAACACGCAAGCTGGCAACAATCCAGTGAGCCTGAATGGGGGCACTTATGTTCCCTACCAGGCAAAGTCCAGCACGGGCGCCTCGGATGAAGCGAAAGGCAGGGGAGAGGCTGTTAAGGAACGCGGCCTCACACGGGTGTAGGAACCTAGGCCAGAGGGCACACCTACACCCCTAAGCCCGCCAGCCTTTAACCTTGTGTCGCTGAAGCCTCCGGCCCGACAGCCGCAAGGGCAAGGGCGTAACGCGGACCCCCAAGAATGCAGCGCTGTTGGCGCCTGTGCCTGGCAGTTAATGACTCGCAAGTCATTGCCGTAGCGGGGATCACTCATGAGGCGAGCTTCAGCCTCCGTCCAAGCGAGTTCTTGCTCTTCCGCGGCAGCCCAGCAAGGCCACTCTGCAACAACATCTGCTACTACAAGCAGGGGATCTCGGCTTGGGTATGGGCGAAGTGGAAAAGGCGGGGAGTCCAAAGGAACTAAGCAAGCCCACCATCTACGCCTACGAGAAACCCAGATTGACCCGAGTTCAAGCTCTGTGCTGTGAAATGCAAAGCCGGCGCGCGCGGCAAACTCCCGAATGAGAAGCTGCGCATCATCATGCCCTGCAATCTCGGCAACACACTCAAGGATTATGCAGACTGCTTGTACCCTCCAGCCCAACTCAAGCACATGTGTCAGAGTCAAGCTGCGAGGATCTGCCGTCCCCAACTGCATACCTTGACGAGAGTACGGCTGGCATGGCACCCCAGCCGAGACTGTGCATGCACAACTGCTATGTGAAATGGCACCATGGATCTGCAACTGAACAGAAGCATGCGAAATGTCACCCTTCAAAGCGGCTCCTCCGTTGTCTCGGACAGTGTCGACAGCAAGCTGTGAACGATCAACATGAAGCAACGTGTGGCCACCCAAGCCACGCAAGCCCTGTGACATGCCTCCCAGTCCTGAACAGAGGTCCACAAGCGTGCGATAAGATTCCGAAGTCTGCGGTTTGGCCGCAAAATGCTCTGACTGGGTACCTGCCCGAAGAATATGCACTCCATTTTGCACCCCTGCAAACTCAAAGTTGTAAAGCGTGTGTCGCCCAATTTCCAAGTCGCAACCCTCCACACAGAGAACTGCCTTGTGCCATAAGGCTACAACCTTATCCTCGAAGCGCTCGACCACTCCTGACCAAGTAGGCCCATCCGAAAGCCCCGAAAAATGGGCATCACCTGTCATGGCGTGATCCTCCGAGGGTTCTGTTGATTTCAGCTCTACCAACTGGAAGGACCTCGGGCCAGAGCTGTCGAACCATCGTTTAGTGCAGAAAGTGCTTGGTCCGCATGGATCCAACTGACAGACTTGCTTGGCCTCAGGTTGGACCTTGACAAATGCAGTCCCCGAGCATCATGTCAGTTTGACTGTTTAGGTGTGCATTGGGTGTTGAATAATCCCAGCGGCGTACTCCAAGTCCTGCGTAGCCGCGTGCTTAGTTTGAAAGCCGACATCCAGGGCATCCTTGAAGCGAACTTGCTATGTCCTGGCCACGCAGCCTGCTCGCGGGGAAAACTCAGCTTTGCTGTGGTGGCAGCTTTCGGTCGACTTGGACGTGCTCAGCTTTCTTCTATCAAGCGGCGGCAGTATGCTTCAGGGTTGAAAGACTTCCGGCTCACCCAACTGCTCCGAGCTCAGCTTCAATGGTGGCTGATGCGCTTATCATCTCTGCCCCCACGTGGCGTGCCCAGAGAACCTGCCTCAAAGTTTTTGGTCGCATACTCTGATGGTGAAGGAAGTGGCCGCGTAGCAGTGTCTTTGACAAATCTGGATCGGCAGACGCAGTTTTGTTGCTCCATAATTCGCGCGCAGGTTCGTTCCAGGTGGCACGGAACCCAAAACATACACAGGATTGAAGCCATGGGGCCAGCCATTTGTTTTCTGACGTGGCCTGAGAGCCTCGGAGGTCAACTCCTCTTGTTTTTCATAGACAAGCAGTCGGCCTTGGGTAGCATGATCGGTGGTTGGTCAAATGAAGCCGTGCTCAATGACATCACTGCATTAACTTGGGCTTTGGCCGCCGACTTGCAGTGTTTGTCCATTTTGAGTATGTGCAATCACATTCCAACATCATCGGTGCTGCCAGCCAAGCAGTATCGTTGCACGACTTAGGACTTAGCAGCATACATTCGTCGGTTCCCTTGGAGACATGGGCTGCAATGGTGGCACTCCATCAACTGTCTACACGTATTATAAGACAGCTGGCATTGTGGACGGTGGCAACTACGGTGACAAATCCATGTGCTACTCCTACCAGCTTCAACCTTGCGCGCACCACTCTACCTCTCCCCATTATACGAGCTGCACTGGGGAAGAGCCTACACCATCCTGGGCAAAGAAGTGTGTTGACAATGGTGCCGGCTGGAGCAGCAGCAAGCATCTTGGCAGTGGTGGTTACAGCGTCTGCCAGCAAGGCAGTGGAACTAATTTCGCCCAAGCGATGATGCAAAAAAACTACAAGAATGGATGGGGCATCGAGAATGGTACGCCATACTGGCTGGTCACCCACTCAGTAGTCATTTAATTTGAAAGCAAAATTCACAGTTGTTCAGGGGATGGTACGAATTCAAACAAGCTGCCGGGGAATAGTGCCAGTCCTTAGCAGTGAGGCAATACCACGTTTGTGAAGCAACCTCCTGGACCTTCCTCACGCAACCCAGGTGGCCAACAGCTGGAATGCTGACTGGGGGGAGCACGGTTACTTCAAGATTGAGCGGGGCACGAACCAGTGCGATTTGAGAGCCCGTTCATCAATGGCGGCCTTGTGGCAGGCCAACCCAAGCTGCAAAGCACGGAATAGTTGGTAGTGTAAGCGCCTGCTGCAGCTGCACACCGGCAGCTCAGGTTGCAAGGCATAAAGAGAGAAATCTGACAGCAGCCCTCGCACAAGGTGAAGGGTTCATGTCAGCGTTTTGTCTCTCGAATTTTGTCATTTGCCTCTCTGGCATCTTGTCCTCATGTGGGACTCGGAATTTCTTGTTCAGTACCTTTCGCTGCTCTGCTCCAGCATGAAAAAGGTTACGCCTGCCTGCTCTGCCTGTTCGGCTCTGTCCCCCCCCCGTTTCTTCCCCCATCACCTTCTGCAGCGCCAAGGTACTCACCGGCTCTAGACGCTTCCCCCGGCGGACTGTTCCTGCCCTGCCTGCTTTCAAATTGGTATACAGCTTGGATCATTGGATTCGGGTTGTTCTAAGTGTGCTTCAGAATCAAAACACCGCCAGTAGAGACACTAGAATGAACAGAATCCCAGAGTTCACGGTCCTAGTCAGCTGATTTCTGTGGTGAAGGATGGACGTGATGAGTGGTACAGTGTCGGCCTTGAGAGCCTTTTGCGATCTCGCCAGGCTTGAGGGGGCAAAATAATTGAGTCCGGGATTTCGGCCTGCAGGCTGATCGATGGTTTTTGCTATGCTTGGAGGTGCAAAAAGCGCCCGGATGCGAAGGGGGCCGAGGTTGCTGGGCTTAGTTGGGCTTGAAATGGTCGATACTCAACGCTGATGCTCACCGCGTTTGCAGGTCATCGTGGCCACGCTTGGTCGCGAGGGTGCCGCTGATTGCGTGGAGCAGGCAGTTCGTATCCCCAAGCAGTTGAATCAATCTGGCTCCATGCCAGCGAGGCCTTCAGCTTCTTCTCTCATTACGATGACACGGGTGACATGCTTGAGGCATCCTGGCACTTCTCTGGGATGGGTGTACTTTGTTGGAATCTGGCTTGCTCTGCGCATCTGAGAGCTTGAGAGTGCCCAGTCCATGTAGTTCCAGCCTCCACGACCCCATGCCATACATGCAGCAGACTTTGTAGGATGCTGCCGCTGTCTCCGCTCAGCTTGCTGGTGTGGAGGCTCTCCGGACATTCCTGAGGCCTCACGTGAGAGTTTCTTGAGATTGAGAGGCTTTGCTGGCGCGTCTGCAAGAGGACCCCTGGCTGTAGTCTGAGCCGAGATGCCTTTGCTGTGCATTTTTAGAAGCGAGGGTTCTTGGCCGCAATGCTTCCCTATCATGCTTTCCTGTCCCAGGAGCCAGCACAGTCACACCTCCGCATTGCCGGGCTGAAGGCGATTTTCGAGGCTGGCGTGCTGGTGCTGATCCTGCGTTATGCATTGGGTATCACCGTATCACATTACCAGGCTTGGGAAGAACAGTTGATTCGTTGAATGCTCTACCAGATGCCAGAACCTACTTGTGTGTCAAAGACGCTGCTGAGATGTACTTGCAGCGCTGCTGCCCTTGTTTTCCCTGCAGGAGGGCCGCACCGATCTTGACTTCCTCTCGATGCGTGCCTGCGCAGTTGCTGTGGAGGCTGGAGTAGTCATGCTCCTGCTTGGAGTCAATATCCAATGTGCTCCAAGTGCCGTTTGGGCACACTTTGTGTCTGATGTTTTTGGCTTCCACTCGTTGTGAGGCTTGCAAGACGATGGTGGTAGAGGCTCTCCTCAGCACATGTGACTTTTTGCTGGCAAAGGCGTCGGATGACATGCTCAGGCTTCTCAGTACAACGAGTCTGAGAAGGCACTTTACGGCATCACTTCAAGTCATGTCCTCTCTGAATGTGCATGTTTGCAAGTATCTCATGCTGGGTAGGAGCCGTCTGATCCGCCGATTGATACTCAACGCTTGCACGAGGCCCTGCAGAGCATTGCAGAGCCGAGAGCAAACGCTCGTCTTGTGCAGAGCAGCGCTTGTCAGGTTGCCTCCTTGCTTTCAGGCCTGTGCGCAGGACCTGCCGTCGGGTAGGATTCCTGGTCTTTTTGCGGTTCAAACAGCGCGATGTCAGGACGGCTGCGGGCTGCTTGCCTTGCTTAGCGTTCGGGGGCAGAACGTCATGTGTCACAAACTTGAACCACGGGCGGCACGCGCTGTGCATCGCCCAGACATGCATTTCTCAGAGTCGCAGCCCAAATTCCGGGCCTGCGGCGAGTGGAAGTGTGTTAGACTTTCCGGCCCGCACATGCCCGCACCATGTTCCAGAGCAAAGCCTAAGCCAGTGGATCATCCGCAGCCGGGCCGATCTAGCCCTGACTCGACTTTTTCAGTGGGCCTGACTGCGAAGAAGTTTGATGCTTGGACAGCCGAGTCACTGCTCCTGCCGCGCTGAGAAAAATGTCGCGATGTGTGACGGTCAACACCGACAGGCATGAGATGCTTTTGATACTGAAATCCTGCATGGGCCAATCACACAAGAATAAAGGTGCTTATGGCCATGCGCGGCAGGGTTGAAAGCATCAACCAAGCCTCTACCACCCTAAAACCCAGGACCTTCCTACTTGGACTTGCTGCGGGCTTTGGCTCGCACATGGTTTCATGTGACATTTGCACGAGGGCAGGAGGTCTGAGGGTTCAACAAGTTCGATTAACATTGAATGTGTATGGCAGCGGGCATGAATACGTTGGTTGCTGAGACAATCGGACATGCGTTGCATAACAGTATCATAGCGTGTAAAAAGACAGTGATCCAGCTTTTGCAAGCCAATACGGTATGGAGGAAGAGGAGGAGCAGGCCATCCCTCCCCATTCTATGGGCACTTCCTTTGGCATTCGGGAGGTTACTTGTGCTCGAGAAGAGTGAGTGGCTTCTCATTCACGGATATGTACTGACCCTGAAGCCAGGTGGCTGCGCGCGTGTCAGTGTTGGAGGCAGAGCTGCGAGAGCTCTGCGCTGCAGCGCGGGCGCCAGTACGGAGGCGAAAGCAGCCCTGACACGAACCGAAGAAGAAATGACTCCGTGAGTCACTCCGTTTTTGAGTTGAAGCAAAGTTGGCTGGTCGTAATGTTGCCATTTGCTGTTTTGCTGTGTGCCGTGACAGGAACTGGCTGAGAATTGCTCGAGAGGCAGGTGTAGCAGGCTCCCTGCAAGATGTAGGCGATTTGCAGCCACCTCTCCTCTCAGGCCCTGCGCAAGCTGGGCCATGCGCCGCGCTTCGCTGCGCTGCGAGGGGCGTCGCGTGCTTGGAACATGCATCTGCTTGAGGGTCCCAAAAGGGCGTGTGATTCAAGCAAGCGAGACTGCATGAAGCCTACACGGATGGATGCAGCATTTTTCTCGCTTGGGTTGGAAGCTTTCTGGAACCTCTGCCAAGGCTTGAAGACAAGCAGGAGAACCTGAGGCTGGTCAGTGAGTCAGGCTGAAGAGTGCCCACAAAGGCAGTTGGTGGCCTAGCCCTAATGAGGACCAGGAACTCTATGCTTGTAGAGACGCTTTGAAGGCAGCAGAGACGAGTTCTAGAAAAGCGTTTGGAGGAGCTGCATGCCGGGATGTTTTGTGCTAGCCCATAAAGCTAAAACTGGAGGGCATTCTCCATATGTCCCAACCATAGTGCGCGTGCTTGCCATTCAGCACCACTGGCCCAGGAGAACGGCCTGCCTCCACTTGAGGAGGGCGAGGAATTCCTCAACGAGCTTCAGGCAAGTTGGCGCTATTCTGGGCAATCGTCTAAATTGTAGACGGTTTGCGCAGATCTTGTTTTTGCACTGCGCGCATTTGCTGGGAACGTTTACGTAGTCCTGAAGTACCTTCGAGGCAGAGCTACAAGATCTTCAGCTGGGCGGAAGACAGTGGGCCAGCCGAGATTTGAAGTAAGCTGCAGGAGTAGTAGCGGGTACCTCCGTCTCTGAATCAGGTGGCGCCAGCGTCTACAAGATACCGCCACAAAGCTGGGAGATCGAGGTGCCAGCTAAACCTGCTTCCCAGCCTCAGCCGACACTGCAGAATCAGAGGATCACAGTGCCGGCTTAGAAGGTTCTTCGAGGTCACAGAAAACGCCATGTGTGCAGGAAGGCGCCTCTCACTTTCACAGTTCTGCCCCGCGGAGCGTGAGCTGCTGCGGCTGCAGGCCCAGAAAGTTTGTGAAAGTCAAAGTCTCAACACATCTTGTGGGGAGGCAGAGCTGGAGCATGCGCAAGGCAGCGCAAAGGCGCTCGTGCTTGAAAGCTGTCTTCTAGAGAGCTTTGTTACGGAGGGGCTTTCATTCTGTTACCTACTTTTGGGTTTAGGCAGGGGGCATCCTCCGGGTTCAGGGTTGAGGGTTAGGGCAAATCCTGAACCTCCACCCTACATCACAAGCAACCCTAAGACCTAAACTTTCTAAACCCTAAATCCATACACCCTGGCCCTAACTAAACACTGAGATCTTGCAGAACTCAGCCTGGAACCCTATACTGGCTTGCAGTTAAGACACTTAGCTTAAGTTAGTATATTGGGATAACCCTATTATTCACTAGAACAATTTATATATATATATACTACCCATTATGGTAACTTAATTTACATCCTTGCTACATACTGCAGGACCACAAGAACGGCACGCCTCTGTAACACTTCCGAATAGTATGTTTGTTCTCTTCGTGATCTCTAGCAGACTCACCTTCCGCCATGCACGTCCTGAGCAGTGACTGCGAAGGAGAAGCAAACTGAGCTGCTGCAACTCCGCGAGGAGGCTGTGGAGTTCTTCTGTTGCCGGCAAGCAAAGATAACCATGTTTAAGGAGGCTTTGCTGAAGAGATCACGGGCACCTGTTCGGAGATCTGTTTAGATTGCTTAGCCTGCTTGTAAAGCATCTGTGTGGGGGAGATGTGTAGATGCTCTGGTGTAGGCATGGTCAGACTTGCAGGTGGCAGCTCTGCGAGACAAGCAGCCTGGTGAAGAGGAGACTACAATGCAAAACCAGCCCTGTCAGTCAAAGTGTCCCGTAGCCAGGAGGCTTCCTCGCATCAGCCGAAGGCGGCATCTACTTCTGCGCCTTCTGCACCACCCTCGGAATCCTCGGCGCCCTCGACCGCGGCGTCACCTCGCCGAGCACCGCCGTTGCCAAAGGCGTCTGCCAGGGATCAGATGATCTGAGCAATGTGAGGCAAGTTTTTCTTTTAGCCAGAAAGGCAGCTGGATGTTTCTATGTATGGGGACTGGCCTCTCTGTTGCACCAGTATGTCGCTTGATGGCAGCCTGCTGCACAACGTCATCAACCACTGTTCGGGCTGGGTGATTATTCTCAGGTCTTAACTGCACATGTCAGATCAACTTCTTGGCAAGGTCTTGGATGGCTCCAGCTGATTCTCGTAAATTTCTTGTAAGCACGAGAAGCTGTCTTGGTGTCAGCACACACTTCTTCATGCTCTAAGTGGTTGGCCATCCAGTAAGGAAAGGTGCTTAAGGTATTGCGCCAGCCATGGCTCTTCGGCAAAGACTGGACCTCTTGCGGTGGGAATTGCGGCAGGTAAGATGCGGGGGCACTGCTTTTTGCAGCAGAACCCACGTTGCGGTGATTCACCAGATTTGGAGGTGAAGCAGCTCATTGGCGCACATCGAAGCAGAAGCTCAGCAGGCTGTCACGCTAGGACGTCTGGAAGACTTTCACAGTTATGTCATCTTTTAAAAGAAGAACAAAAGGTCAGGGTCTGGGTCTTGATATTGCAGCCGCAGCTGATTGCTTTCTCAAGGACACAGCAGCTTCGATGCAAGAGCGGCAACATGGGACACGCCTGAAAAGGTCCAGCGGGCGGAACCTTGGCCCCAAGAAAGCTTGAGAAGTGAGAAACTCTTGCAGCGCACCCCCGTTATGCAAGCAGAGGATTCACTGGCTACTTCCAGGTCTGGGTCGGTGATGAGATCCGACAGTTCGCCTGGTTTCGCGCGGCACCAGAGGCACGATGTTGTGTTCAACAAGGTCAAATGAATGGTATTTGCCTTGGGGATACTATGGTACCCAATGTAGAATAAGATTATATCCTCCTTTTGGGTAATTATGGATTCTATTTCAGGACATTAGTCTTATTTGGCTCAACCACCAAACAGAATGCTGCTGGCATTATGGCTTTTTGTGTGCGGCGCCGTGCAAACCGGTGCTGTCAACCTTTTTACCTGTCCTTCAATTCCTCCTTGGAGGAGATATTTGAATGCTGAGCAGCTCGTGAGGCCATGGGCAGATGCCTTGACTTTGGCTGCGGCACAGGCCACGCATGATTCCCTCCGGGAGATACTGTACCACGATCCATTATCAGCATCCATATTTGTTGATGTGGAGAGAGCTACTACTGCATTGCTTCTTGTCGGTGACTTCTTAGCTTTTGTGGCGCAGGTTTGTTGTCCTTTGAGCTGCAAAAGCACTGCAGGCACGTAACGGGCCTTGAGCTTTGGCATGACAGGTGTTACTGGCGCTTCAATCTTGTCTTAGAAGCACGCACTCGCATTTTTGAACACTGGTGCGCTGAGGACGAGTCGTCAGGAATGGTGGAGGTGATGCAGGAGCCGACAGCACTTGCCCGGCATTCTTGTGCTATTTGTCCACCTCTGTAAGACGGCAGTGATCGGACATAGACAGAGGCGGTGCATCTGAGAGACTACCTCCTTGCAGGAGAAGATTTGCGCAGCAGGCCTTGGTTCCAAGATGATGGCCACAAAAAGTCCGTTGGCGACCCTGGGGGACTTCGACCTAATTGTCAGCCTGGGCCTCTGAAGCGGAGGCAGCAAGTTCCAGTTGAGCTAGTAAAGCTGTCTGCTGGAGAGACGTGCACCTTGCATGCAGTGACAGTGTACGTGGACAGGCAGATTTCATTGGCGATTTGTATATCTATTCGTTTTTGCTGCGTTTTGGGGGATTGGGACTTTCCAATTGCTTCGCTTCCTGGCTTCTCAGCTTTTTGGCTTCCTGGCTTCTTGGCTTCCGGACTTCTTGGCTCTCTGGCTCCTCGGCTTCTTGGCTTTCTGGTTTCTCGGCTTTTTTGCTTGCTGGCTTGTGGGCTTCCTGCCTTCTCGGACTGATTTTCTTTCTGATCACTATGTTTACAGAAGTTGCCCGCACGAGTATTCAACAAGATGTGCATCCGAGCAGCATGACATTTGATTCTCATGTTTGGAACTCGGGGGGCTGCCCCCCCCCCACCTTGTTGTTTTGGAAACCATTCAAGGTTTCCTGAAAAGAGTGTCGTGCCATCGCCTGGTTCGAAATGCTGGCTTGAAATCGTGTGGAGCGTAATTGCATTTTGGCAAACAGTCGTCCTAGCATCTTGGGTGCGAAGTTGTGCACTCGCGCGGAGCGTTCTCGCATTTAAGCGCGAAATCGTGTTCTCGTGTGGAGCCGTTTTGTTGCGTGGAGCCCCACACTTTGGATACCCGAGACGACAAAAAACTACGACTACTACACCAGTTCTAGAAAAAACATTGGTCCTAAATGAAATCTGCGCCCAGTTTCATGACTGCCGGAGGTCTGCTATGCATCCATCATGTGCGCGACTGTCAAGCTCAACTTGGCGAGCTTGCACGCCATTTGTCGCCACATTGCCGCATTGAAAGTCTTTTACTTCGATGCCTCATGCCTTATGCTTTCTTTAGTGCTGCGTCTTGACATCTGCCATCGTGACTTGCGGATGCCAGGCCAAGCATAGGTAGTTTGGGTTTTACAGCTCTAGAAGCTCTGTCTTAAGGCGTGGTGGCCGGGTTGTCATCGTGGACTTTGAGGCTACACCATGCAGCATGCAATGTTGCTAGACAATTGTCACAGCTATTGTCATGGCCCCGAAGGGGGAAGCAAGCTCTTACGGTCCGACTAGTTTGAAGTGAGCGTAGATGTTGGTGGGGGACCCGTAACATTGCGATGTTGTTTATTTTGTGTGCAATTCTAGTCTAGGTGGGACCTGTTTTTCCATGTAGTAGACTGCATGAAAGGCCACGGAGAACGCTCGCCTCTTCCACAAAAAGTCGGAGGCGAAGGGTGATCACTACGAGCATGATGGCTGCCTGGGCATGTGACAGCTGGCGGATCAGGGTGTACATCCGCTTCTCCGCGTGTCGATCCATGGTAACCATAGGCAAAATCCATTTTGTAGGGTTCGTCTGAGGCTTGGAAGCCAGTGCGTTGCAGCAGTGGCTTCTCGCAGCAGGACTGCGGCAAGTGGAGGCCTTCTCGAAGCTTCTCCAGCTCAGCATGCTTTGCCATAGACACCTCACTTGTGAGAAGTTGATTCACAAGCGGGATCCTGCAAGGTGCACAAAGTGCCTTTCAAGAAAGCTCTGGCTGAAGGCCATGGCTTGTCTCAGACGTGTGGCGAATTGCCTGAAAGTGTGATAAGACGCGGAGCAACGATGGCCTAGCAGGTTGGGAAGATGCTGGGCGCATGGTGGCTTGCCAAGGTTCAGCCCAGCTTCCTAGTTTTATGCCTTTGCCCAGTCATTTGTTTCGGCCTCCCGATTTTGCACGCAAGTCGCACATTCGAGCACTTCACAAGCGTCCGTTTCTTGATTTACGCTGCGTGGCTGAGGAAACTTTCCAGATGCTGATCGCTACGGGAGAGCGTGTGGAATAGAGCGTCTCAAAATGAGCTTGCTCAAGCTGTGGCTAGGCAACTGTCTAGACTCTCGACCCCACCAAGATTTTGTACAGTTTTGATATGACATTGCCAACAATGTTCTTGTGTGGAGACTTGCTGCCTCCTGTTTCCGTCTAAGCTTTTTTTTTGGCAGGCAAAGGCGCGGGGACCGCCTCCCCCAAAGGCAAAAGCCAAGGCTAAGGCTGGAAGAACAAGAAGAAGTTCTGTTGCTCTTGCGATTTTTGAGTCCGCAGGCCCCAGCACCGGGTCCGGTGCCGAAGTTCGGGGCGCTGCCTCCCAGGCCAAAATCTTTCAGAAGCTCAGATTTGCCATTCGCAGCCAAGCACGAACAGGAGCAATGGTTTGGTGAACATCAACTGGAAAAAGCTGGTGGCTTGCGGCATGAGTTAAGTAGCTCTGCTAGAACAGCAAATTCATGGCATGTACAGGAGCGGCTCTCTTGCAGGTGTTCGTAAGTTGGATTGGTCCTGACTTTTGTGACATGGCCAGGGGACCCTCGCTGATACCGACTACGATCTCAATGCAGATTCGTTCTTGAGCCGCCAGCTTGGATTGTGTCTGTCGTGCCGCTTGCGTACCAACATTCAAACGCCAGAGGCCTCAAGCTAGGAAATTCCCTGCTCTTGGTTGCTCAGCCTAGGAAGACCCCAAACTTCCTGCGGCCTTAACCAGTTGCAAGCCAGGTTTGCGCTGAGCCTACGGGTTGTTTTGATATGCTCCTCCTCGAGTTTCGCGAGAGACGTTCCTGTCCTTTGCTCCCATGCTGTCACGAGAGGCCCTGGCCAAAACGGCAGCCGAGCCGTCAATCTGTATGTTAAAAGAAGAAGTGTTGGACCTGCGTGCCCCATGCACCTGATATTTGGCCATCAGGAATGCAGGAATCAGCGAGAATCTGATATCAAGAAATGTTGAGTCCGCCTAGATGGCGGCAGCGTACTCATGGCGCACTCCTGCAGACTTGCACGCAGTGTGCACCATCTTTGCGTTACAAGCCCAGCCAGAAAAATCCTCCACATATGCAACAGCAAATCTCACGGACATTTGAACACTGTCCCATACCAACCACATTCTTGCAGAGGTTTAATTTAACCGCTAACGCGAGACCGCCTCGGCAAAGGTTGTTGTACATGCGCCGCAAGCTCAAACCAAGCAAGTTTCGTAAGCTGCACCGCAGGGTTTGCCTGCCACCCCCCTGGCTCCTTCCCCTCCCCACCACCGTTTCGCCTAACATCCGTTTTTTTTTGGTTGGTGCCTGTGCAGGATCCAGGTGACAAAGAGCCGATCCTGCCTCCCCTGCTGGGAGGGGGTAGGGGGAGGGTTAACTTACTCTCCTCGTCTCCGGACCTGGATCTAAAGGCCCCAGCCCTCCGGCCTCGGCGGATTTCAACCTGACACCGTGGACCTAGGCACCGAATGATTATTCCTTTCTTCCCCAGGTTCGATCGCGCCTGCTGGGATGGGCCCGATCCCGCCGCTGAAGCCTGGATCTGCGTTCGAATGCTGCCTGGCTACCTAGAGACGAAAACGGTGTTCTTTTCGTCGCAACGAGCGGAGGCGGTGAAGAACTGGTGTCCATGGATGATGCCCAAGTGCAGTATTGGTTTCGGGCTCGTCACGTACTCAGCCAGTTCCTATGCCTGATCATCCAAGGCCCTCTATGCAGGGGAAATCGCGAATAAATAGCCAAGGCCCTCATCCCCACAGCCACCGGCCACCTAGATCGACCCCAAGCAGCAACTCCAGTGCAGCCAGCGCAGCCCTCAGGTGTGGTAGAGCGTCCTCATGCCTCGCTCACTCCGTGAGGGTGCACTCGTTTTGAGTACTCCAGGTGTGCGGTCCAGCTCAGCAGAGGGCCAGACTAACTCCGGGTCCAGCTCATCTGCAGGCGCAGAAAAGGGCAAAGATTCCTGATTCACTCTTCTCTTCAAATATGGATAGGAAACAGTGAGTGTGTTTTGAGCCCGAATACCATGAGGGTGAAGACAAGAAGGAGATATGCCAAGAGTTTCAACAAGTGACTCGTGGCTGAAGGCTTTAGGGAGTAGACGGAGGCAAGATCATGTAAGTGGTCTTCTGATCAGTCATCAGTCTGAGTTTCAAGCTCCCAGCATTCAGGCAATGGAAGGGCCGTGCCTGTGATTCTGCCAGGCTACAGCCCTAGCATTTCAGTTTTGCCTTCGAAAAGTTTGGCTCCAGCTAGTCGGTGCCTGTTCTAGAAAGGGCTGTGTCTCCTCCCACATTTCACGCTGCCACCATGGGTATTTAAGTCACCAACAGCTTGTCATGGCACACTCTCAGGTGTTCTCAAGCAGAAGTTTCTCGACGAGAGAACGGCAAGGCCGAGAGCAAGTGGCAGTGCGTTGGATGTTGTGGCTTTGATATCCAACGCATCAGGAGTGCTGGCCTTTTCTTGGGCAGACTACGCATCCATGGGCGTAGCCTCCACACTGCCCCACAGGCCTCGAGCCTCTGGTTGTGAATGTCATAGGTCCGGGCTTTGAGCATGTGTTCACAGCTGTTCCTAGACGAGGACGTTTGCAGATCAATCCTGCAGTGCACCATCATGAACGAGGACATTCAAGACGACTCGTCAGTTCCTTTCTCATTTTGCGCAGCACTTATTGTGCACCGTTAGCAAGGATTTCTTCGATTTTGCTTCTTACTGCCATTTGATGGCCTCCTGGTTCTTTGGTCTCCTGTTCCTTGTTGTTGACATAGTTACTGTGTTTGTAATCTTGGAGTGTTTGCATTGTTGCGGCTACAGGTAACGAAGTTACTTAAGAGCCTCCGGCTCAGTCTGCCGACCCAGAGGCGGAGAAATCGCGAAAGCCTAAACCCTTGACCTTGAGGTTTTCAGAGGCCGGCATGCGACCAATGGGCGCAACAAGAATAGTGCAAGCTAGGCTGCCGGGACTCAGCAGCTTGCTGTTTTCAGTTGCTGCGTTGGAA